GGGGGAATTCCATGGGATCAATTCCGAATAAGCGCTGAACTTCATTTTGTGTTATCACTTGATCGGAGTAACTGATGTCAGTTTGGTTACCACATCTTTGATGATTAAAATGGCCAAATAATGAGTGGAATTACATTTTGATGTTAAGATCACCTTTATTCAGCTAGTGAGCTATGTAATTAACTCTGAGCAGTATTTGATTATGCATGGCAATCAGTAGTATTTAATTTTTAAGTTTGAGATCCAAGTGGAACATTGGGCTTCAACAGCGATTCTACACTCCTTCCTATTCTATCCACTCCTCTTTAACTGACACCACAATCGATCAGAGTCTCTCATCTCCACCTAACACAATCTCCTTCATGTCACCCTCAGACACTTGCCCAAAACACCATTCCCTATTACGGTTCCACTTCACCTATGATCGGGCACACAGTGTCACACGACGGTTTCCTCAGAAAAAGAGTTCAGTCAATCTCCATCCTCTTCAGAATATTCTCTGAGCAATAGTATTTCGCTTGTTGATTATTTCCCAGAATTATGATTTCGCTAATTCTTTCTGCGTGACCATCTGGTCTTCAGTGTGGAGGCAGTGAAGAGTCAGGTGTTGATGAAAGTTTGTAGTAGTGTGTTGGAAGTGTTCGCCGTGACGCACGTGCCATATAGAAGCAGTGACTGACTGATTGACTGAGTTATCATTGGTGTTGAAAATGCAAGTTTTGTTGTTTATTCGGTGACTGGGTGCAGAAGATGTCTAAGGTGATTTCAGAGTGATGAATGTGTGTCTTGCTTTTCCGATCCTGCCTTCGATATCGTGATCAGTGTGGTGTGGCTGTATTTGAGACGATGTTTCGTTGATCAGTGAAGGCATTTTTCTCTTTCGAATTTCTTGGTGGTTGGTGTGTTGATTGGTGTGTTGGTTATCTTCATCGCCTCCATCTTCTCTGTGTTCACTTGAAGTTCTGTCTTCTCTGGCAGCCAGCTTCTTCATCTACCAGGTTGTAGGTTTTCGCCTGTAGATCTTCTAGTTTGTGTGACATTGGACATGAGTCGATGATGAAAGGTATATCTTCTGTGGTCTTTCTATTGTTCCAATTTATTTGTGTCTTCTCGTTGCTCCTACACTGTGTTTCGCGTAATCCAGTCCACTTTAGTTCTGAATAACATTGGTGTCTATGGGCATACCTGTCTCACTCCTGTCTTTACTGAATTTCCTGTTGTGGATCACTAGACCAATGGTAGTGTCTTACATGTGTTGAAGCGGGTTGACAAAGTCTATTCAGGCACTCCATTGATATGAAGTAGTTTTCAAACTACTTTTCAGCCAACACTGTCAAACGTCTTTTCATAATTTATTAAACTGAGGTGCAGAGTTTTAGTATTTTAATATTTCCCACTGGAAATTATGTCAACTTTCAGGGGTTTCCCAGAAATATTAAACATAATTTGTTTAAAAAAAGTTTTTGGTGTATATTATGTGCTGTGAAAGTTAGACAGGCGAACTAGATTACTATGGCTTATTATAGTCTACTTCTAAAAATTCAAGGCTGGTAAACGGAGAGGCAGAGAGTGAATGAAAAACAACTCGGCCATTCTCTGCTCCGATTTTACAGTTTCACAGTAATAAATATTATTTTTTAGTGACCGGTATTTATCAAGAGTTAAACAGCAGTAGGAAGCAGACAGTGCCTTGCAAACTAAACTTCTACAGTGCCATACACACTGCTCATCGCCTGATCGGAATTCTTTTACCATTCATCTCATTTCAAAGTCGAAACAGAGGACCTCAGTGAAATCATCCTTCTACCAAGTCTTGGTTTGAAGGGATTTGATTAGTTACAGATTTGTTCACGGGTTGACATCATTTAGAGAAACATTAGAAAACCTGGGAGTGCTAGACAGCTGTCTCGTCCTAGTTCAGGGATTCTCGGCCGTATAAACTCACTAGGGTTCGAAAGAAGGACCTCCCAGTAACATTGCAATATCGTATACCATTTAGCCACTGGGACCTTATCCAATGGCCAGGCCATGAATTCAAGCTTCTGCCAACTTGTGATATATAAAGAGCAACCGCCAGCCAGTGTCATCGTGAAGTAACTGAGCTCTTACCTGACTTGTTGGATTCCGCTGGTTATGACTTCTCAGGGGATCCATGGGCTAGCCAATGGATCAAGTGTCAGCGGCTGAATTGCCTGCGAGCTTGACATGTCACCGGAAGGTCCTGGATACGAACCCCGGAGATGCGTCCTACTGGAAAGTCTCAAACTAGAACAGGACGACTGTCCAGTACTCCCAGGTCTTCCAACTATTCTCTAAATGATAATAATTCGTGACCACGCGTGTAAACCACTTCTTCTAAAGCTTAAACTCATAAACGTGGATATCTGTAAATCAATCAAACTAAACTAGCCTTATTTATCTTTAGAAAACTTTTAATTATAATGTGGTGCTTGTTCATCAAATAAATAAGATGAAAAAAGCACTGAAAAGTTAGACATGCTAATTAAAATGTTAAATTTGCAATACAAAGTTAAATTGAAGCGACAACAGACAATAAAAAAGTGACTATTTTTAACAAGCAGTGAATTCTGTGTCTACGATTTAGCTAGTTAGATTAAAACCATGTATATTGTACAGAGTGGGAAACAAGAGAGAACAAGTGAAGAAGAGCGGGAAAGAGAGGTGGTGGGCGTGGGAAGGATAGGCAACAACAGTTGTCGTAACAACATTCACTAATTTTTCAAGTGTGGGTTTTTAGAGATTGTGTTTGATTGGCTGGAGGATTTCATCATGAGCTGACATTAGTTAGAGAACCACTGAAAAACCTGAAGGGGGTACTGGAGAGCTGCTTCGTCCCAGTATGGGATTCTTCATCGGCACGCCCCCACCAAGGTTCGAATTCATGGGCCATTGGGTAGGTCGCAGTAGGTTAATGGTCTACGAGCTCACCTTGTAACCAGAAGGTCCTGGGTTCAAACCCCAGTGGGTGCATACTGCTGAAGAATCCCAAACTAAGAAAAAAGAGCTGCCCGGTACTCCCTGAAGGTTTTTCAGTGCTTCTCTAACCAATATCAGCTCATGATTAAAACCTCCAACCAACATTCATTAAATAATGAGGTTCGTTGTTGTGTAAGAAGCAAAAAACAAAAACAAAAAAAATGACGAAAAAAATCCTTGAACATGGTTTTCAGTCAAATTAAGCATTAGAAAACAGTGGAAAGATCAGCGATATATATATTCTCATACACACAGCCCGCATATATGAAATGATTGCGTACTAAATTTGTTTGAATTTTTCATGTATATAAGAGACATAGCAATCAGAATCAACTCTCTGACTTTGAATAAATTCAAGCATCTATCTTCTTGATTTCAATAGTAATTTATGCTTTTCAAAAAACTCAAACTTATGGATTAGGAGGATTCGCTTCATCGGCTAAATGATGAAAATGTATCATCTGTCAGAACTCCTTTGATCAGAAAAGTATATGTGGTCATACTGTCAACTGTAAGTTAAGATACAGTCATACTCAAAGCCTATAAACCAATATGTGAATATTTCACACCAGTGTTTATGTTGTTGATTAGCCTTCATGTAGACGATGTGATCGATAGCAGATTAGTGATGGTTACTTAATGCCGCTCACTGACGTGGATTGAGCAGTTCTAGAATGCAGTCTACACAATGTATTTCTGTGAACCTTAGTGAGGAACTTATTATTAGCTGGTACTTAGAGGAAAATCGCCTTTGTGGCATTGATTTTTGTATTGACTGATTACTTCATTGTAGTCCTACAGGAGATTGATCGTAAGGCCGAATAGCTCAGTGGTAACGTTTCTGACTGCGGTACTGGACGACTCTGGGAAATGAGTTTCTTTAAGGTTGTAGAAACGCCGCTAGGCACAAGCGCAAACCATCTGATAGTACTCATTTTTTGTTAGTGAGGTTGGCCGAAACACCCACAGATTGGCAGACTGATACTAACGTAATAAAATATAGTCAAAAATGAAATGAAAATCTCAGTCGGTAAAAAAACTTGAACTGCCAGCCGTTACAAGCAATTTTCGACAAAAAGATATTTTAGCAGTAGCCTAATCTTCTCTAAACAAAGTTGATTAGCTAGAACTCTCATTCTTAAAGAAAAGACAAACACTGAATCTTCAAGAAACTTCAAGTACCTAATTGGGAGATCTCAATCCAATGAGTTTTCCCTCTTCCTTGGCGTTCCAACTAGGAAGCCTCAATGTATGAAGTGTCAGAAGCGCCAAGGTCAGCGTCCCATTCATGCTTCCCTCTTCTCCGGGCTTACAGTCAGTTAGGCTAGGTTTAGAAAAGTATCTGCAGAAAATGGAAAATACACTTTCCACATAGCTAGCCAACATTCTACCATTCAACCAATGTGGCACAATTTTATGACTTAGAATCAACGAATCGGTTGTCATTATTGGTCTGTTACAAAATCCATAAGAAGTAAATCTCTGAATCATGTCCCGAATAATACTATCTGCGTTCACTTATGACATGTGTCGCTTTTCTGAATTCACATTCACACCTTTAAATTAAAGAAGTATTCACTACTTCTACTACGTATACAGGTTGAGTGGTATTCACTGTCAACCAGGTGAGCCCGAATTTACATAAATTAACATCTCTCCCCAGTAGCCTACATTCTTCCTCATGATCCTATCACACTGATACTGCTGAGTATATATCAGATGGCAATGAAATGTACATAGTATGTTTTATTCTATCTTAGAATTCATCAGTCAGATGCGTTTACCTCTTGAAAGTTGTCGGCAGTGTCATTTCATTTTTCATGAGTAACTTTTATAGACAACTTGACGTAAAATGATGACTCTTTTGAAATGCGAAAGTAAATTATCCAACTGTGAAGTGAATTGTTCGTAAACAAATCAGAAAAGACATATTTATTTGCTGAATTCTATGGGGATTGGTCATTCACTAATGTTTTTTATCTATATCACTTACTTTCTCCAAGGTTTAAGTAAATTCGCTCGACTGGCTCGTTCAGTTACAAGAAATCGTTCAGTGCTACAACAGCTGTCAGTATCTCAAACATCTTCACAGAACACAGGCATGAGTTTGTATCGAAGTAATAGGCTAACAGCATGTGGTGGGGGTGGAGGTGGGAGTGGTGGTGCCGGCAGCGGTGGTACTGACAGTGACGGTGGTCAAGTGGAACAGTACGGTTCACCGGGTCTATCAAATTTTCAAAATCTCACCGCTAGTAACAGTTCACGATTTCATGACTCTGCAAGGTCAGATCCAGAAAAAGCTGCAATGGTGAGTGGGTTTTTTTTTTACCATTTTTTGGTGCCTAAACCGGGCATGTTAATAAAACTGTTAACACTGACATGGAAACTCTGAGGCCGGTCAGTTAGTTTTGCTTTGCCCGAGCTGCTGGCTATTCATTATTATGTCATGGCAAACTTATCAGCTGTGTAAAAAACATCAGTCATTCAGTAATCATCGTGGATAAGGTGAAGGAATACATGTGACTCCACGAAGACACCTTTCTGGCCGAAGGTAATGCCTTAGCCATTCAAACACAGAAACCGTAGCTTTGTTCAAAGAAAAACTTTTTCAAGCATTCTTCCTTTCATATTCCTCATCTGCTTCTGTTCCACTATTCATAACAAAAAACCTACTTCCTATGTGATATCACCACATTTTTCTGTTAAAATGCTCGTTTAGACAACAACAACAACAACTCATTCTCTAAACAACTTCTTCCTATTAAACATTGCCTAGTCTATTATGGTAATTATTGTTCCCTTGAGTTCTGAGTGGAGCAGGACATCTCCATTTCACTCCCTGTCTCTGGTGACATTTTTAGGGGACTTCACGATCGACAATAAGCTTTAGTCTCCTCCTAACATGGTCTCCTCGCCTAATTTACCAGCCGGTTTAAAGCGGGACGGATTTGTAGCTAGTGACGTCAGCCTGGAAAAGCAAATCCAATCCAAACTCAGGTGATCAGTTCTATTTTAAAGCAATTAGTTCCCCTTTTGCATTTTGACTGAAACAATAAGAAGACATGATTTATCTGAATCGTGTTATTTTTATTCGCACAAATTATTTCGGACAATCTGATCATAGATGCGCTTGTCATATGAATAATAAAGAATAATAAAGTATTGAGGGGTGAGAGAATACACATAGGTCAAGTTGGAAGGCTATACTGAAGACTGTGGAATCCCAGTTGCGGCACATTTTAGCAGATATCTATTTGTTGTACTCTAGAGAAGATATATCGATGACATTAAATCATAAGTGACAATCTTTGTTCTACCACTTGAATTTTAAATCGAATGAATGAGTTGCAAATTAGCATATGATTGACATCTGTAGAAGAGAAAGATAATTGTTTATCTATCCTAGATACTTTGTCTAGTTGACGGCCTGATGTATCTATGCGACAATCTTTCCATAGAAAACCTATTTGGACAGGACAGATGCAGCTTCTCTCCTACTTGTTAGAAAAGAACCTTGTTGAGGTGAACAGGATGTACTTGAAGATGAGGAAGGAAAAGTGACGGCAACTCTTGTTGATAGTAATTATCCAGAGAAGTTCATGAGAAGATATAAAGTGGTCAGCACACCAATACTAATTCTCCAACTTGCCGCTAAGAAGGGCGTATACATCAAGCTACCCTACATGGGTGATTATACCAGCTTGGTAACTCTGAGGTTGAGAAGACCTATTATGGAGCTAAGATCTGGATAATTGAGAATATGCAGTCTATATATCCATCTAAGGCTTTAGAACATATGAAAAATCATGTCATATCCCACTGTATCTACCAAAATACAAGGAACTAATAGGTCTTTGCAATTAAGGACATCAGAAGCAAACCGAATCACCTGAACCCAATAATGATGAAAAACAACCTAATTCTTCTATGTTGAAACATACTATACGGAAAGGACAGAAAATTGATTTTTACACCTCTCTCTTAAACCTATCTATAAACACATGTTTGGGGCGTATCCTTAAGTGTATAGAAGCCCTAGCGATTAGCAAATTTAAACCACCTTTATGCGTTCATCAAAAACAATTTGTCATCACATTAAACCTTCTTTGGCAAACTTTGTTTTTATACCAGGGCGGATGTACTATTATCTCCCTTCTATGGTTTATTGACCTCCATTGTTATTTCGATCCTCAGTATTGCCTCTTAACTTGACCCCTTAACGCTTTATTATTTTCGTTTATGTTTCTTTGGCAACCGAGTGTATGATCAGATTATTTGAAGTGTGTTGCGAAAATACATTACACGATTTTAGACAAATTTACGTCTTCTTATTGTTTTGTAGAAATTAATTGTATATAATTTGCGTTTGTATAGATAGCTGTGTTACACGAAATCTCCGAGAGGAATCTCTTCGCTTATTCTTGATTGCACGCTCTATAGTCGACTGATAGGCTTACGAATGCTTGTTGACTTGTTGTTTCATAAAAATTGTGTTTAACTTGAGTGTAAACGTTCATTTAAAATTCACCAAAATACGTATTTACGAGATGAGTTTTTAAAACAAAATTTGTTTTATGCTAACTGGAATGATAACCAAACACCTGTGTTTACTATAATCTGTGTGTATGTTAATCAAAGCCTATGGTGATACAGTCTCAACTGGATGAGGCTTACCTATTGAAGACGAGTTCCTTCAAAACATCTGCGTGCTAGATAAATGAGGTCTTGAATGCCCATAATGCATGCATTGATGTTTCTGACACTAAGACAAATCCTTCTGACATTTTGCTATATATATATATATATCGCTACACTGGGTAGTTCTGAACTTGGATTTATTCTTTGTGCTGGCTTAATTCTTCTGAAAAGTAAATGGTACAACTCAAATTTCTTCTTCGCTACTTTTCGTTCCAAGAGGAACGCCAAGCTCCAGGGTTTAAGCTTTGAAGTTTCATTAGCGGTGTTGTCTTTACGAGGTCAGGTGGCCAGCCTAACTCCCAACCTCCCCTCTTTTCCGATCTAATCACTGGTGAGACGAGGTTTACGAGTGCACAAGCCGGGAATCGAACCCCTGGCCATCTACGTGTTTGTCGATTGTTCCATCATTAAACCGCATGACACACACAACTAAACTACTGGCTGCATATCTGTGTGATACGCAGCTCGAACACAGACCTCAATGGCTCATAGCCAAACGTTCCCTAACAATAACAGTGCTTCCTAATCAGATCATCGAAGTAGTCTAAACACCCGCTTCTAACCTCCACTGATACAGACAACTGCAGCTGACGAAAACTCGACAGCTAGATAGCCAGTGAGAAGGACATCCATTGAAATTTTACTATATAGTTTTTTGTTCACTTCCCTATCTCTCTCCCTCTCTCTGTCGAATAAATGAAGCATTAAAATTTTTCAGTCAGTTAAAATGAATTTTAATAAACTTACTTTTGCTATTTTCACGGTACAAAGAGAAACAGGGGAAAACGAAGTGAAGAAAAACATGACATTATAACAGAGAAAATTGAAGAGAACAAACAAACAAAAAAAATAAAATAAAGCGTATGAACTGTTTCTTTCAACTCGCCTAACTTTCTGCTTTCTGTTTAACATACATGTCATCCAAATATTTACCTATTTACTTATGAACACTTCCGGTCATCCGTCCTCATGGTAACCTAATTTAACAACACTTTTAAAACAGCCTCCGTGTTTATAAATATAGATGGATTAATCCATCAGGATCACTGCATGTGTTCATCTTTGTTGCATCAATGAACAGCATACAAGTTTACTAAGTAGAAACTGATTACTGTTATTCAATTAGTGTTGTAGTTGTCCCAGTCAGATAAATATAATTAACATACTATATTGTCAGTCATTAAGTGAAATTATAGTGTTTTTTAATCACCCAGAGAGCACATGAGATGGATAGATGCTATTTATAGCTATTTATAGTAATAGCAATTATGCTCTGTTATGTATGCTCTGCATACACGACAGGAATTCTTCTCCACCGGTATTTTTTTTTCTTACATACTTCATTAATCTTGGAAATGGGAAACAACTTCACTATACACACTTTTATAATTCTAACTAATTAATAGGCTTATAAATCTACCTATCTCTCTGTCTAGTGAAGTATACTTCCGATTTCAGTTTAGTTAGTTAATAATGTGAGATAATTTAAAAAGTGAAATCAATGAATTATTGATCGGTATATGATGATGTATAGCAGGAGTAAGACAAGGCTGCACACTACTGTCATCAACGATGATATTCTTAATTGTGGTGGGCTGGATTATGCGTTAGACTGTGAGTGGGGAGTGAGAAGACATGAATAATTTGGACCGATAAGAAGACTCTGGAAGATCTAGATTTCCCAGATGATTTATTTCTAATGTTACACAAACTGGAAAACTTACAGGCGAAAACCAACAAACTGGCTGAAGCGGTTGGTAGCGAAGATACGACTCCAGGTGAACATAGAAAAGACGGAGGTGATGCAGATAACCAACAAAAAGTTACTACAAGCAGTACCAATCACCATCAACGGGAGAGATTTGATAGAGGTTACTTCCTTCATTTACTCAGTCAGGAAGCGCAGTTTCAACCACAGACAGTCAGAACAGATGATGTCAATGCTAGCCAGAATCGAAAAGGTAAGATAGGCCTTCATCAGCCTGAAACCAGTTTGAAAATATTCTGCACTCTACCGCAGCATAAATGACAAGATTCGGATTTTCGACACAAATCTGAAGTCAGTTTTTCAGTTCTTCTATACGAATCAGAAACCTACACTGCGTGTCCACCACGAAAAGGATTTGCTACACGTTACTGCCGACTTTTATCTACAGCTGTCTTCACTGGCTGGCTCCATACTGAAGATCCAATGCCAGCCGGCCAGAAAGAATTGACAGCAAGAAACTCTAGGGGAGAACAAATCTACCTAAGGCCTATTGATCAACATATATGTAGGAGAAAATGGAGATGAATCCGGCATACGTTGAGGAGGCCGTCGAATGACATTGAGCGCAATGCTGGCCATTGGTCGAGTGGAATCTTAACAGGAAGCAACGAGGGTGACGTGAAGGAGATCTTGCGAGTGGGACATGACAGACTATGGTTAATCATGAAGCCAGCTGAAGAGAGCAGCAGGAAATAGAAGAAAGTGGGGATGTGTTGTTGAAGCCATATATTCCACTTGGAACCCAAGGGAATGATAATAATATCCATTGTACTTCCTTCTCTGATATCACTTTCAGCTGGCGCAGTGAATACCTACAAGCTTTTTATTTCCTTTTTACGTGATTTTTCTTTCTCCATGCCACCTTCGGATGCGTAGATCACTTCGGGTCTGGCATAATTGATATGAAGCGAAAACCAATCCCCTACGATATTTTTCCTTCGTCCCCTTTGACAGGTGTATGAAAGTGGATCAAAAGAAGTTAGAAGTTAGAATTCATGGGTCATTAGATTGGGTCCCAGTGGCTTAATGGTCTGCTAGCTCACCTTGCGACCAGAAAATCCTGGGCCCGAACCCTGTGGTGTGGGTGCGTACTGATGAAGAGTCCTAGACTAGGACGAAACGGCTAGCTGTCCTGTACTCTCAGGTTTTCCAGTGGTCCTCTAATCGATGTGAGCTCATGATAAAATCCTTAAACCAGTCAAACAAATTCCCTGCAAAAACCAATACTTGGAAAGAAAATCGAAAGATAGTTAGAAATGTGCCAGTGTACATTCTGTGACCCAAGGGCATAATTCACTGATTGAAACAAAACATGGAGAACTTCAATGGAAATTCCGGTAGGCCAGTAATTTAACGAGGCTGCCAGCTATTAAAATACCAAATTATTATGTAACGTGTATATCCTAGATTCTACTTTTACCTGTCATGAGCTTACAATATTTGGATAATTATTTAAAAGTTCAGAGATTCAGAGAGGGAGAGAGATTAGTCATTGTATCTGTTGTCAAGACTCTTCAGTGCTGTTAAAATAGTATCTTTCCTTGAAACGTTTTCAGAATAATTCTCCTTTTCGCATAGAAGAGCCGGAGTTTCTAAAGACTACTAAATTTTCGCTTCAGGAGGTGAAGTTAGGACTAGGTTGAGATTATTGCTGAAATATGATCAAGGTTAAGATGACATATTGTTGCGTAGCCTTTTTTCAGATGAAAACTCTTCCCTTAATCCTGAGCAAAATTCATTACTAGTATTTAACCTCGTTTCTATTTCTCCACTGAAACTGGTGAGCTGGTTTGGCTGGCTCAGTTTTCATCAAATAAAACTGAATGTTTCAACTAAACCTCGGATTTGTATCAATCAGTGAGATTTTTATCACACTGTTCTGAGGAAGAGAAACTCTCAGCTGTCATTAATTCCCAATTGTCCAGTTTAAGTTTAAATTCAGTCATCAGCGCACTTGCAGTCGCCACAATCATCACATGACTAGTAGACTTCCAAAAGAAGTTTACTTCAGACAGTTTGGCAAATCTAACGAATTTGACTGGACATTAGTAAGCTACTGGTATCATGCATCTGGTCCTTTGTTTGGTGCAGACTGAATTAACTATCAGTCATGTCTGCAGATCCAACTTTTTTTTATTCCTTCACGTTCCCAGTGAAACATAGGGCTTCAAGCTGGAGGCTTGAAGTTTCTGTAGCAGTGTTTATTTTTACAGGATAGGGTTGCTAGCTTCATGCCCAACCTTTCCTCTTCACCAGCTTTAGTTCTGGATTAGCGAGATAAAGGAGTGCGGTAGCCGGGGATCGAACCTCGGGCCATGTGCATGGTCGGCGAGCGTCCTTACCGCTATTCCACCGACGCACACGCAGATCCAACTACTTTGTGTTTATCTGAACCAGTTTAGCACTGAAGAACTGCTTGTTTCTCCTTTGTAAAACATCTTTATTCTCCTCGTCTGCCTTTTTCTCCTCTATTTTCTCTCTGTGTCTCTTTTTTCTTTTTTCTACAGTCCACATCTTCATGGATTGATTTAGTTCCACCGTATAAACAAGAAGCCCCAAAAACCCCACCTCATATCATATTACATTATGTTGCATTTAAAACTACCTGGGATTGGCTGATATTATTTTTAACCGGTTATACAGCTGTCATGGTACCATTCAATGCAGCATTTAAGAGTAAAACAATGGATGATGTCAGCTTTTTAGTTGTTGACAGTATTGTCGATGTGATATTTTTTATAGATATTGTACTTAACTTTCATACAACTTTTGTCGGTCCAAATGGTGAAGTGATATCCGATGCAACAATTATACGTATTAATTATTTAAAAGGCTGGTTTATAGTCGATGTGTTATCCTGTCTACCGTATGATGTATTCAATGCATTTCAACCAGAAGCAACTCAGGTAAGCTAAAGTCGTGTTTTATTCCCTTTCATTGCTGTTAAAATTTTCATTATAATTTGCGTCGTATAACCCCACCCACCATCCACTATGGGGGAAGATAGCCACTCACTGGTAAAACAGGAGACTCATGTTGGGATCGTGATATCTAGTAAGTCACTTAGCTGAGAACTGCTGGCCGGACGACAACCATTTGTCAATGAGTGAAATATGACAGTTGTGGTAGTGGTCCCACGTAGGGTCATTGGTTGTCACTCACTCCTCATGAAACCTACCTAGATGAAAAAGCTAGTCAGTACGCTATAGTCTCTAAGGCGAATGAAATAAAATCTGTTTACTTCAGTGATAGATTTTCATGATTACTTTTAGGATCAGCCACCTAAAGTAGTTACCGATAATTGAACAATTCACGTACACCAGTTACCATTTTACAGAGTCAGTTGTAAAGCTAAATAGCCTAGTCACAAGTTTGTTGATTTTTGGATTTCTGAATTCAAAATTTTGACCTCAAGAGTAGCTGATTCCCCTTATTCATGCGGGGAACATAGACTGAGATGAATCGCTGTTTCTCTATCTCCAGTTTTTGCGTATAACTTCTGAAAAGAAACGAACATCTGACAGGTCACTTGTCTGTCACAACATATGGTGTAGCTTCTGTTTCGTCTTAATTCTAAAAAGCTTGTAAAGCTCTACAAATTTTCTAGACACTGAAGTTAGACTTTGTCTGTATTCCTTTTGCAAGAATCGGTAGCCAATGAATAACCAGGGGAGTGGTTTTGGTTTTCAGGAAGGGGGCGTCAATATATGTGTGTCAAGTAGCTAACTTTATCTTTAAGCTAAGTAAAACGATAATATTTTCTACTATACTAGTGTCAACTGTTAGTGGTCAAATAAGGCCAAAGAATACATCTTACTTCTTAATTTTCGTAGTAATTTGAGAAATGTGTAATATTGTTGTATGACCGGGTGCTTCGGTGATTCATTAATAGAACACTCATCAATTATGCACATGGTCTGGGGTTCGACTCCCAGACGACGCACTCCTTTACCTCGCTAAGCCGGTAGTAACACCGGTAAAGAGGGAAGGTTGGGTGTGAGGCTGGCGACCCCATCCCGAAACTTCAAGCCTCTAGTTTGAATCCCTATGATCCACTGGGATCGTAAAGGAATAAAGTAAAAAGTAACTGACCACGTTAAAGTATGAATTCTGATAGTCATAAGCAGCAAGAGGTCAGTTTTTCGACAACACACTCAGCTTATCTCCAAGTGTAGTCTACAAATCATCACCTTCAATACTAGATGAATCCAGCTTGAAAGATTTCCATACTGATTTATAAGGACACACTTGCAACAGCGAAGAAACTTTCCTTTTCAACGGATCTTGTTTTTCCAGGAACTATATAGTCCTATTTACATTCAGGAGAATTTTCATTAGAATTAATGGTATACCGATATGATAACAACAACCAACAGTCATTATATAAGAGGTGTCTTTCTTGAAGAGGGGGCTTATGGCGTAAAACTTTAGGGCTACATTGGAGTCTCACTGGGAAAGGATGCAGATACCTGTAGGTGATGAGTTCAAGCTGGGACGAAACGCACATTGTGGATTATACTGCCAGCTAATACAGTATGCAATTGGAGTATATAAGATGCAGTTCAAGGATGGATAGTAAATTAGGTAGCGCAGTGATTTAAACTGCCCGCCAGAAAAAATACAATTAAACAATGTCTATCAAGATGACACATGTCTAACGGACAATGACTATGGTATGAAGCATATTTTTTGTCATGTCTAGTAAGAACGAATTTTCCCGTTTTTCACTTAAAAAAAATAATTTTAATAATAATTTTAATTACTTTAATAATTATTGAACAGATTAATTGATTAAATCACCTATTTTCGCCTTTCTTTTTGTTTAACAAAAATAAGAGTACAATTAGTTCATTATTTGGTGCATTAAAAGTTGTTAGATTATTAAGAATTGGTCGAGTTACACGTAAATTGGATCAATATTTAGAATATATGGCAGCTAGTTTATTATTAATGATTTCTGGATTTGTATTACTTGCACACTGGTTAGCTTGTGTATGGTATAGTGTTGGTCAGACTGACTTGAAAAATGGTATTTATTATGGATGGATACCAAGATTATTGAATGATATTGATCAGGGAAAATCAATACCAACCAATTGGACAAGTGGCGTAAGTTTTGTTTGTGTAATTCAGTAAACGTTCTTTTGCTTGTGTTTTCATCCCCCTTATTTTCAAATGCTAGCCTGCAGGGATTTCACTGCATTTAGTGTAGTACTCTTTAGCGAGCAGTACGCTCTCATGATCCCACCGGAGATCGATAGCAGGAACCTCAAGTTATGAAGCCAGCTCACTGAGCATCCAGTCACTGGGATGGAATCCAATGATCTACAAATTCTAACTTCTTTTAGTGCTCTTTTAATTTCCAATTGTTTTTTTGGAAGGGTTCCACTGAGTTCTAATCAAATCACGAACTGACATCAGTTAGTGTTAGAGACCTTTTGTGAAAATCCGCTGAGACAAAAAAGCATACATAAATGCGAGCGAAAAGAACTTCAAAATATAAAGATGAGTGAGTGAAGTGAACATGTGTACACTCCTGTGAGTCGTGATTCGATTCCCGCCTGAGGCACTCCGAAATCTCGCCTAGCTTACTAGTTGATAGTAACTCCGGTAAGGTGAGGTTAGCACCCCTACCCCACATAGCATACAACACTACTGCTACTGAAATTTCATAAACTTGAAGTTTTATGTGTCGATTCGGAACGGAAAAATGCAAAAAATGCCCAGATACTTGTTGAATTTTAATATACCAACGACCTCCGACGACCAGCCAACATCTCTGTTTATATCCCAACAGAACCATGTTTTCTACACTGATACAGACTCAATCAACAGTACCTGTATAGGAGTGCAGTGATTCGGAATATCATTGGTGACCAAGACATCCCTGAAATAAGGGAGGATTTCCTTAAATGCTTATTCTACTTAGTAGCTCTGATCTCTTTCCGAAAGCAGCATAACCAATCTCACTGAAAACACAATTTTAAGACAGACGGATCCCTCATGAACCTGAGCTGTCTAAAACAGGAGTGAATCATAAAGTTTCAGTAACAGTATCCAGACCCCCGACCCCCTTATTTACCACTAAAGAATATGAAAACGAAGATATAAGTTCAGGGAACAGTCTAAAATTCAAAGATTTTTTTATTCCTTCACTTCCCCAGTGGAACCTAGGGCTGCAAGTTAGAAGCTTGAAGTTTCGGTAGCAGTGGTGTTTATTTTCACGGGATGAGGTTGCTTTCCATATGCCCAACCTTCCCTGTATACCTGTCTTATTACTGGCTTAGCGAAGTTTAGGAGTACTTCATCCAAGGATCAGCGCCTAGAATGGGGAGCGTACATGCCACAAAATAATGATGAATAATGTTTTAACCAAAAGATCCAGCAGTGAAAGGCGACATCCATAGAGTCTACTGTACCGACTGAGAAAAACACCCTATATTGGCCAAAGCCGGCATCCTTTGCCTCCGTTTATCTGTATTCACGAACTGACAGTTAAAAGAAGTAACATGCAACGGTTCATAAAATATCACGTGGATAACTACGGCTACCAATTTAACTAGGAAAATCTTAGATGGAGGAAATACAAAGAATGTCAGAGAAATTTCTAGATACCTGGTACTCAGATCAGCTTTAAATCAATAAACCTGTTAAAATTTACCGAAATCGTTGATCAATAAAAAATTGTTCAAAAGATTGAAAGATTAAATATCAGGTCGACAAGATCATCATCACTATCGATACAAGTGGATATGAGCATAAGGAGATTCGGTGGGAGCACAGTGAACACCTTCACCAGGAGAAACAAATAATAATATTTTATCCACAGAAAATTCCCACAGCTCAGTTCATACTAAATTCGACTCTGAAGACATTGTCAAATAAGTTTTCCGCAATTAAAGCGTCCAGTTTCACAGGAAACAAAACCACTGACAGGTGGTGGTAGCATTAGTCTACTGTTCCTTCTGACAAGCTTTCAAAAAGGTGTAGTTGTTCAGGTGTATATTTCATATTCAAACTTTATGTGAAGCAAATAGAATTTATTATCCATTCATTTTTGATCGGCCATCATATTTAGCCTACAAAGGTAAAAATTATTATTGTAAATTTACGAGTCAGTATATTGGTCCGCGAGTCAGTCAGCCGTTCATTCGGTGAAATTCTAACTGACAGCCGACGAAATGGTTAAGTTGGTAAAAACCTTATTATTCTGATTACTAGAGTGAAACAATTTTTCGGAATAATGCTTTCTCCTCGGTATACTTTAGACGCAACACTAAAAACACGTAGGCAGCTGACATCTATACTTTGTATGACCGAAGTTAAACTTGCCTACGCATTGATTTATTACTATTTAAGGTACAAGAAGCTGATGTCTGTCAACTTTTAGATTGGATTGAATCGCTTCGGATTCTAGCCAGCTATTGTGTATATGAGGGCTGAGTATCTATCTCCTTCGGCCGTAGAACATAGTAATACAGACTAAAAACTGCGTGTTAATATATGTGTAAAATTTGGGCACTGTGGTAGTAAGTAATTCCATATTAGTTTGTTCATTAGATGTACCACACAGTGATGAAACAGTATTATTTACTGGATGACACAGTTTCGAACAAAATTTATTGTTCATAATCATATCAATTGTAATCACACGACTTTGAAACTTGAGTTTCATAATTTTATTTGTCTTCTCCTATTTGTCGTAGGGGTAGTAGAATTTTCCAGATATCTGGGACAGGTGCTGAATCATTCCTGTTACACGTGTTTGCAGTTGATTCGATAAACAAAGCTTCTGTTATCAATCTCTCCCTCAACCCTGTGACATTAGATTTTAAAACTGTCATCCTATCCCATCCTATTTTATGGTTGTGTGTAACTGCATGTAGTGCTATAGCTGAACTATTCTCTAGATTTCTTATCTTATTCGGGTCAACCAATCTAGATTTTGCTAAGTTTTTATGTTCACCTAGTCTGACTGCCCCTGTTCTACTAGTTTGACCTGACAATCATTGCAGGGTATTAGATAAACTAAATTGTTTTGTTTTAACGGCTCCACAGGATCCTTTAACCTTGTTTCTACTTGAGTTTGTGGGTTTGAATGCCAGCCACTTTCATTCCTGCCTTGTTAAGAATTCTGCGTAAGGTTTCCAAGGATCCTTCTTTGTATAAAATTACTACTGATGATTTAGATTCCTTATTGTTGGTGTTGTCTTATGTGAAAATAAGCTTGTATCACTCAGATTTAACCAAAATTCATCTTCCTTAAAGTCAGTGGTTAGCGGTCCTGACAAGAAAAGTCTTAACGATAAATCTGCATTCTTCAGAGCTAAGCATGATGCATCCATCATACTGAGCCACAGAAAATTCCCAATTGATGGAGGTTAATCAACATTTTTTTCAAATCAATGTAGTCTCGTAACTTTATGAGTGTATGAATGTAGCCTTTCTGGTGCTTCGCATAGGTCAGTGAAATAAGGAGGCTTCGGAGTTCGCAATCAATTCCTCTAATATTATAGAGTTGTAAAACGATCCCGTGTATGTCTGAATATACTGTAAGCGAGTCACATACACAGAAAATTCTTAGTTAACTTATACTGGTTATGACCAAAGTTATAACTAGTAATGCAAGAGCTATATAACAAGACAGTACTGTTTTCTAACAGAATACAGTTTGATAAAAACTCTACTTAGATCAGTCTGACTGATTCTGTATACTAACTACTAATAATAACAGGCTTCAGGTGGTTTTTGACACTTCCTTTTTATACTGAAGAATCCTTGAACCCCAAGCCTACAGTTTCCGAAGTCATAGGTTTAACTGCTAGGCTGATAAATCCCGCTAAGGAGTCCCGAATAGCGTGAAATGCACATCTTGGGCACCCCAGTCAAAATGACATCGGGTTATTCCTCAGACATCAAGAAAACAACACGTACTAGGAGCCGGCATGTTAATAGAGACCGAGCAGAATCAAGTAAAAACAGTCAAGGAAAAGCGTCTAGAAATGCCAAAATGCCTTAAAAATGTGACTTAATTATATAAATAGCAGAAACATTCAGACAGCCAAGGGAATAATAATAATAATGATAATAATGAGTTTTCTTGATAGATGTTCAGCATATCAGTCATAAGATGAAGATTATTGAGAGATGATATCATCACATAGTCGTTTTTCATTTTATATCTGTGTCACAAGTTGCCTGATTGAAAATGTCATTAAGAATAATAATAATAATCATAATAATGGAGATTAATTAATTGAAAGAAAAGAGCATTTGTCCAGCCCTGGACTGTTTGACGAATCGGAATATTCTTCCCGATAAATTCGTCTTCAGATTCTCCAGTTATATAAGAGTAATAATTACAGAAATATTCTTATTAACAGCAACAATGTTTTAAATTATATTGAATCAATAATACCGATAGGTGATTACAGTTCAAAAGCCTCTGTAAGTGTCGTAGAAGGCATTAATTTTACACTAAACTGAATGTTCAATAAATTAAGGAAAGTAACATAGAATTTATGAATTTATAGGTTTGACAGGAAGTCAGGATAGCAGTAGTGCGTGGACCTGCTTCTTTTGCACAACAGAACTCTGGATGATTTAAGCCAAATTGCAGTGGCCTCCGCTGTTTCGAATGTTCAGTTAATAGAAGCCTTTGGTAATTTATTCTATTCTCTATTGACAATAGGCAAAGACACTTCAATACTAGCTTTGTAGTCTGGTTAGACGCAGTTCTATAATATCGAACCACCGGTGATTTTTACGGAACCTTTCTCTTAGTCACACTGGTAGGTGTTTCTGAGAATGTAAAATTAGGTTCCTAGAACAGTGGCTAATACAACTAACTGGAGCACAGGAGCAGATGAACTGGAAGATGCAAGAAGAGGTGACTAGCCTAGTCATCACTTCATCTCTCAGTGTTGGGATCACGACCGGTTGTATGGAAAATATAAGCTTCAGTTTGACCAGCATTAAATGTTCCTTGAATCGAGTTTCTCGACTTGTAAGTATATCACCTTTGAATTACAGTCGAATGTATGGAGACTTCTTGATAACACACAGAGAAGAATTCTTTTCTGCTTTCTTGACTGTATGTTTCATGATGAAATTTTCAATGTAGCTGTTTTCAGTTAACGCGTGGTATACGACTTTGAATTCGGCTTTAGTCGCGTCTTCTCAATAAATAGCTCTGACTCTATAGCTGAGTGGGTTTACCAACCTTCTTTTATACCAGTGAGGAACAAAGCCGTGAAAATGTGTTTATTAACCTGTTCAAGTCATTTTTTAATGCAAATTCCATTTTTATCCTACCTTCTAATCTTCTTGTCATCAGGACGTTGTAAAAAGCCATTTTAACTTGGGATTCCTCTTCACACATGAAGCCGATAGCTGAATTGAGATATATTGTTGCGTTCCTGTCTAAATCATTTCCAGAAAGGATATACTAGTAATAAGATGAGAATTTTCTGATAAGGTTGTTTAAAAGATCATTTTCTAGTTAACTTCGAAATAAATCTGCCCACCTAGAGAAACAATAGAGAGCCCATTACTACCCCCACCCACGTGTCTTTAGAGTACACCGTCAAATTCAAAATTTACAGGTTTATGTACTTTGGGTTGGAAAATGTAGAATCTAATGACAAATTAATCGAAAGGAATATTCTTTGTCCATTAATCACTCCTTTAAATTAGAAGTACTAGACAACGGTTTCGTCTTATTTTTGGGCTCTTCATCGGAAATGTTTGTTACGTTTTGAACATCCATCTTGTAATCAGTCACCAACAAGCAGGGAATCAATTTTCCACATATTGGTTTTGTATGACTACAATATAATCTCATCTGTTACAGTTTGAAAGTATGCACATGTGGTTGTGGGTCAGCACTGTTAAGTATTCTACAACTAAGGAGAAATGAGTGGTCAGTACTCCATGGTTTTCAGTAGTTCCCCAAATGATGTCCTCTCGTGAAGAAATGTACCCTGAAGTTACAGATACGCTCATCACTTTATGCCGAAATGGATGTTGTAAAAAACATTTTACTCAATGCTTCATTCACAGTAAATCACTCTAATTTATAGAGGTTTCATTCGTATCTCCGCATACAATTTGTTGGAGAAATATCTGAACTTATCAAGTTGAACAAATAACTCTTTTTAAATGGTTTCACTATATTTTTTAAGTGTTAGTGTGTAGGGATTTGATTGGTTACATGTCTAATCACGAGGTGATATCATTCGGAGAACCATTAAAAACCAAGCAGTACTAGACAGCAGTCTCGTTCTAGTTTGGGACTCTGCTACAGTATGCATTTGGCAGATTTCGAACACAGGACCTCCAGGTTGTGAAAAGAACTCGTAGACCATTCAGTTACTGAAACCAGATCCAATGGTCCATGAATTCTATCTCCTGACATTTCTCAATATGTAGCGCAAATGCCAGCCAATGTCATCAGGAAGGAACCTGACAAACTTAGTGGATCCTGGTGGTTACAAATTTTCACTATAACTCCAGGTGACTTCCTGTATAGAGCCAATCGCTAGTGAAGATTATTACTGGTTAGAAAAATAGTGACAGTCAAGCATAACTTGGCAACTATTTGGAGTTATTCAAAACTATAGACCTACGGCTTAGGGACGACCATTGAACACACTAACCAAGAGAATGGGGCTTTATTATTCAGCATTGCAGTTAGTAATGCTTACGGTAACGCTGCGCAAACACATAAAATATGGTGGGATTAAGTAACAGTCTTAAATTCGTATATAATAGGATATGAAAAGAGTCTGATAACCGAAGTCTTCTTTATTTGAACACGTGGGAGAATGTGCTATGATTTAGTAGTTCCAGAGATTTCTGGAATACATTTGAAAGACTTCGATGCCTTCACTTATCTGAGAAGCATCGTTTCAACTACAGACACAAGTTCCATGGATGACGGTGTCGAAACGAGAATCTGAAAGGGAAGACAGACATTCATCTTCTGCACTCCGCTGAAGCAGAAACAATAAATTCGGATTTTCAACACCAGTGTTTGCTTAGTCAGCCACTGTTTTTAATATGGATAAGAAACTTGGTGGTGGCGTGTCACAGAAAGCGTCTCCAACAGGTTGCTTCAGATTTCTGTCAATAACTGCTTCCGCAAGCCGCATACTGAAGATTAGATGGCCGATCAGAAGGAAACTCGACGAACGAAGGAGCCGAGAACTTATTGCTCAAGAAATATGCAGACACACACTGAGGAGACCTATAGGTAAAGTCAAGCGTCTGGTCCTCAAGTGGAACGCAGGTAATAAATGACGAGTAAGGCGTGTGGCTGAGGGTGACATGGAGGAGATCATGTAAGGAGGAGATGAGAGCTTATGTGGAATCTTGGAGTCAGATAGAGAGGACTGCATAGAACAGGACGAAGTGAAGATGTACTGTTGAAGCTGAATGTTTCACTCTGAACGCAAGGGAATAATAATAATATTATAATAATACGGATTTCTAGTATCCGTAATGTGAACGCAAGAAAAGTAATGTCATCCAGTCAATAATGCTGTCTCACTCTTCGCGGTACATATATCCAATAAACAAGGTAATATGGAAGGTCATGAATTGGCATAAGTTAGAATTCATGCACTGGTCGGTCACTGGATCGGGTCTCAGTGGCTTAATGGTCTACGAGCTAGCTCGCCTTGTAACCAGGAGGTCGCGGGTTCGAACCCTGGCGGTGGGTGCATACTAATGAAGAGTCACAAACTAGGACCGAGGAAACAGCTGTCTAATACTCCCTGCAGATTTTCCAATGGTTCCCTAACTGATGTCAGCTCATGATGAAATCCTCCACCTAATATGAAATAAGACGAAGCCACAGTGTGGCAACATTTCAAAAATTCACATTGGTCATTAATGATGCTGTTTTCCTCAGCTGCTTTAGCTATCTACGTCTTTTGTCTGTTTCCTTGTTTATTTTGTTAAAAATAATGCAGAATGCTGTAAAATTATTCTACCCTACCCCACATCAACCCCACCGAAGATAGGTAACTGTTCTGTGAAACGGAAAAAAATAGAAAACTCTATCAGTTCATAACTCACATAAATTAATTAAGTTCAATTTTGAAAATCACTGACATTTCCACAATCTCAGTATCTTTTCAGAATTTTTCTTATGACCTCCGGTATATCCTACGCCACCCGGTTTGTATATATATTATTGTCATAGTCAAAAAGTGATCGGTGTGTGTTCTCATTATTGTATCGCTTTGTCAAAGTTAAAATTGAACACAGCACATTACTGTTATTCGTTCACTGTTCCAATGACCTGAATAACCTAAATAGTTAATTGAGACACAAAGAAATGTGTCATTTACAGTTTCGGCTTAGTTCGTTTTTATTATACTTATATTTAAATGTTTCCCTTTTGAGAAATTAATGTTTTTAAATCGTGTTCTGGTTCTTTTCCTCTGATTTTTGAGAAAAAAACATATTCTCTTTATTATTCTCACTGTTTTGTGTGTGTATGTGTTGTAGAATCCTCCACTTCCACGGACAATGACTTATGTAACATCCCTGTACTTTACATTATCCCTGATTACAAGTATCGGTTTTGGTAATGTATCAGCTACAACATTTGGTGAGAAATTGGTTGCTGCTGTTTTCATGCTTATAGGAGGTGAGTTATGCCGGTGTCTTTTGTGAAGGAGTCTTTATTGAACTATCTGTCTTTCTCTGTATAAATAATCATAGGAACAAAATAAGATTAGCAGTGGAAATGACAAAAATAATCAACATAATCTAGAATTCAAAGCCTTGACAGTATTGCTGTATAGCGAAGGAACATCAAAGGCCTTATGTAGGATTCTGAATGAGGCTGGAATCAGTTATGTTGGCATTTAAACCAACCAACCAACCAACCAACTCTCTCAGAGATAAACTTTGTTGACTACCTTAAGGAACGCGATGCATCCAATTAAGATAAAGGATATGATTTACCAAATACCATATATTGATAGCTTGCAGACTTTCATCAACAGCTGCCCACTTCGCTGGCTGCCTCCATCTTGAAGATGAAATGGCCAGAAATAATTGGCAGCCCAGACCCTGTTGCTCAACATATATGAAGGAGAAAATGCAGATGTTACGGGCACACGTTGAAGAGGCCGTCGAATGACATTGCGCGCAATGCTGGCCATCGGTCGAGTGGAATCTTAATGGGAAGTGACGAGGGTGACATGGAGGAGATCGTGCTAGTAGGACATGGGAGACTATGGTTAATCATGAAACCAGCTGAAGGGAACAGCAGGAAATGGAAGAAAGTGGAGATGTGTTGTTGAAGCCCTATATTCCACTCGGAATCCAAGGGAATAATAATAATGTACTGACTGTGAGGTCAATTAAAAAATTTAGCTATACCTAGAATGATACCGTTATACCGTTACACAATAGGTACCATACAGTCACGAATATGTGAAAGCTTAAAATAGTATTTGATACTGGTGAGGTTCGAATCGGCTCAATTTGCTGCTGCAGTAAGCGTCATGAATTGTCCCTCGATTTTAATTAAACATATATGTAAATACTACTGTGGTGGTGGGATACAGACAATGTGTGCCAACGGAATATTGTTCTTACATATTCCCACAGTTCAATACTGCATACAATATATCTATTTAAACATTCTATTTGATGTTATATATATATATATATACTTAGATGAGAAAGCTGTGTTGCTTAGCTACAGTTCTGTGACAGTGTCAATAACTATCGTTGAACTAACTAGCACATCCCGGATAGTCTATACATCTCATTTTTCGAAATTTTTTATGCAATAATTAAAACATTTAATCGAAAAGTTATATTCACTACGTTGAACAGAATTCTAAAACAACCAATCTAGTCCAGTTTGAACGTTAGAGTGGTTATAAAATCAGTGCAGTTCACCAGACCTCTAAAAACCTCTGCATCAACCACTGGCGTCATAACACCTGGTGTTACCTCAAACTTCCATCGTTCTAGTTGCTCACGCAATACCAATCAACTCCCAGAGATGAAACCTTCATCATCCTGCTTGGTATTTCGTCCTTATAAGCAAAACCAACGCCAAGACCGTAATAATGTTTGACACAAAGATGGTTTTAGCCAGCAACACACATACAACGACATTCTCAATGGCCATCCTTGACAATTCACTGCAGACTTCGTCACCAGTCATCACCTGTCTGCCAAATATTCGTCAGTGTTCTTTCTCTACGTTCCGAAGGTGGTGCTAAACCTGTGATCCATTACCACAACTCCTCGCCAAACTCTCCCGTCTCGAACAACAAGTTGTTCTCAAGCGCACTACAGCTTCTAACTCTCTGATGGGGAGGAGGTCACAAGTGCGCCATATCTCCAGTAAACAACAGACCACTCCTTTGACGTCCGTCAGCCAAGTGCAAAAAATAGACGGTGTGGTCCCAGGTTGACCCCAAGTAATACGTTCCTTCTAAAGAGGGAGGTGATATGGTGGCTGATTTCAAGTATAGGAAATAAACCAATCAGAATTGACTTACGTAAAATAACGCCCACCATTTTATCGATCATGATTACAGACTAATTGACATATCCTTGAATCATACATTATTATGTGAAATATACTTTTCGGCTCAAATCGTTATGTGTTCCCGTTTGAGTAGTGTGGGCTTCGAATTACTGCAGCCGTTACCATTCGAAAAGCGACGCCTGATTGATGAATTCATGATGACTTTTACGAAAAAATATTTTCACATATTTTACTATTGATATTTATTTCTTGTTTTCTTCTCTCCTTCCCTCATGCTTCAAGCGTTTGGTTATGCTACAATTTTTGGTAATGTAACAACAATATTTCAAGGAATGTATGCCACACGATCACGATATCATGATATGATGGCGTCAGTGAAAGATTTCATTAAAACGCATAGTGTTCCAAAAGATCTAGCTGAACGTGTAATTGATTATGTGACGTCAACATGGGCGATAACAAAAGGGATAGACACAGCCAAGGTGAGTAAACTGTTTCGGAGACAGTAATGAAGTCTATTCTGCCTGTAAAATTTTTTTTTGATTACAGCTTGATTCCACACCATATTTTTCTGGTACAGGTATGGAATTTTCAGCATGTGATATCGGTAGCCCAAATTTTGCAGGCCGACCATAGATATCAGGTGTGCGTCGGCAGGGGATCGAACCCCGGACCATGTGCATGGTCGGTGAGAATCCTAACCACTGTGCCACCAACGCATTGTAGTCATCAGCCAACCAACTACCATTCCCAACTGATTATTGTTGATTAAAGATAACTCCTCCAAATCCTTTACTTTTCATAGTGAGCACTAATGAATTACCTCAGGTATTTTTTAAGTGTATAAATGGATCAATGATGGCAAAAGAAAACAACTGTGTACTACCATCCTTTCAGATGCTTATTGGGCAAAAATAAAGAATAGAGATCACGGAATAAGAACGTGGGAGTGCGTTTGAGACGACCAATGAGTGAAGGCCGTGATTTTCTCATGGGAAAGCGGTTTATTTACGAGAAAAATACACATAACTGTAATGAAACACATTGAAGATGATATTTTACACTGGAGTAAGCAAGAAATACTTCGCGTTTACAATCGGGAAGGGGGACGGGCGGGGCGTTGCGGTATCAGTTTTTAAGCTTCACATTTATCAAATCAGTTTCCTCTGTATGAATAACAACCCCATCCAGTCGCATTTATTTATTTACAATGTAAATACAGGTGATAATAATAATGAAACCCTCTGTTCCTAACCACAACTTTAACGCACTATCAACCCATTGTGCAAACATTACTTAAAACAAGATCCGGACGAAATTTGCACCTCATTTCGTGAACACCATTGACATACTGGCACTGTAATAATGGTAGGCTCTGTAATCCAACGGAGCGTAAGTGCTCAAGGTCGTTGGTGCGTTCGCGCTCCATGGTCGCTATTCTCTAGGTTCGCTAATTATTGAAAAAAAATGCTGTAAGTTCATCAATTTAGACGGCATTGTCAACATTCTGTTCCTGAAATAAGAGGGGAGACTTGTATTTCAGGTGGGATATAGTCCTTGTTGTTCTTACTTTATAAGAAGTAGAGGGTTTATTTGTTTAGCTTGCATTATCCTTTTGAATAATATATTCACTGCTAACTGCAATATGAAGTCAGCTTTTAAAAATTTCAATGAATTAGCTAATCCCGGAGATTTCTGCTGTCTTGTAGTGATCATTTGTGTATCGGATATCTGACTTTCTTGTATTCCTTTCATTCCTAATTGAACATGTAGCTTATCAAGCTTTTGAAGTTGATTTTTCCGGGTGGAATTTTCAATCTCACGCCCCTAACCTTCCCCTTATTGTTGTGGACTTACCGCCGGCTTGTACACAAGCTGAAGTGAGTTGACCCTGAATTGAACATTGAATACCTGTCTAGCTGGAGAGCATTTCATCATTGAATCACCGATACATCAATCAAGCTACTGAACCCAATTTTCATCATTCAAAAAAACAAAACAATTAAACTTGACCAATATTTTTAATTTTTTCGAGCGGGTAGGGTGGAATCAGTTTGATTTAGTTAGCACCTTAGTGTTCGCAAGTGTTTTGCCGAAGGAATCTGTGAACGACTTCACTTTTCGTATCCAACCAGCAAATAATCCCCGATGATCAGCATTGAAAACACAGAAAGACGTTTCTGAGAAAATGATTACTTACCTTCACGGATTTGCAGCAAGAATTTTAAAGAAAAATCATTCGTTCATTTCCTCAGAGACGATCGGATCACAAATGGTTTACATTCATCGGTGTAGCTTCCACCCGGTAAATAAGTTAAGTGGCGTCTGTAGTTTGATTTCCCGCCAACTGACTCTAAATGCTGCATAGTTTATTAGTCGATATTAAGTATGTTGTATGTGAGGCTAGGAACGCCAACCTCTAAAGTGAATAACACCACCGTTTCTGAAATAGTGAAGTCACAGATTAGCGATACATTCACTTGGGTTCACTAGTCAAATTTTCTACTATTTTTCAAAATATCGAATCACTGTATATATATATATATATTTATTCCCCCAAGTTCCTAGTGGAACATAGAGCTCTAACAACATATCTCCATTTTGTTCTATTGTTCTACTGTCCTCTTCTGCTGGGTCCACAGTTGCTCATAATCCCTCATGTCCTCCTCGCACGATCTCCTCCGTGTCACCCTCGAACCGACGACCCCCTGGTCGCTTCGCATTGAGATTGCACTCGACCGAGGGTGTGCATTGCATGCGATGCTATTCGATGTCCTCCTCAACGTATGTTCAATCCGTTTCCATCTCCTCCTACATAACCGTAGAGCAACAGGCTCTTGGTTGGTTTGTTCTCCACCAGAGTTTCTTGTTGCTAATTCGTAGGTGTTGATGAAAGTCTTAAGTGAATTTTTTCGAATAGTTCACATCATATTACTACTGAGAAGTTATTAATACTGGTAAATCAGTAATATATGTTACTGAAATTCCTCTCTATATATACATATGCATTATTTCGTTTCTCCCTTTTATTTCTTTTTTAAGGTATTAAATTACTGTCCAAAAGACATGAAAGCAGATTTATGCATTCATTTAAATCGTATGGTGTTCAATGAGCATCCAGCCTTTCGACTAGCCAGTGATGGGTGTTTAAGAGCATTAGCTGTTAACTTTAATACTATACACACAGCACCAGGAGATTTAATATTTCATCAAGGTGAAAGTATTGATCAACTATGCTTTGTTGTCTCTGGTTCACTTGAAGTGATTCAAGATGATGAAATTGTCGCATTTTTGGGTAAGTTTCAGTAGTGGTAATTATGTAATACTGAAGTGCGGAATGTTTAATTTCACACACTCCCCAATTCATAAATATGATATTTGAGACTAGACAGCCTGTTGTCTAAACTGTCTACTAAATTCATTCATAATACTCTCAATCATGTGATTGCATATTACATTAACCATATAGCTGATTGTCTAGTTCATGAGTTTACTAGTAGTTAAAATAGTTCCATCACTAATCCGAAGTTACTGATTGAATATTGAAATACTCATCGGGGAAGCCTAACTATGTTGCTTTTGTTTCTTCACTCAGTCAGGGATCTACACCATATTACCGAATTAAACAGTAGCAACAGTCGTTGTACGTCGGTGTCACAGCGGTTAGAACGCTCACCTACCATGCACATGGTCCGGGGTTCAATCCCCGGCCACTGACGCACTCTTTTACCTCGCTAAGCCACTAATAAGACTGGTAAAGCTTGAAGTCCTATGTTCCACCGAGTACGTGAAGGAATAAAAAATAGTCGTTGTACAACAACGTGTTGTGACTGCCATGCAGACACAAGTGGTGGAAACAGGTGACGTCGGCGGTCTCATATGTTGCTGTAGTATGTACAGTAATGCCAGTTGTACTCAACACTTCTTATTTTTAGAAGATTTTGTTGAGTTTCGAGGTCATAATGGGAAAACAAGCTAAATGGGTACTTGAAGAAGCAGTTTATGCCTACGTGTGTTATGTCTTAGTAGGCACTTGTGGTTTTGCTGTATTTCACATGCATGTTAGAAGACAAACGACTGGAAAATATTTTTTCAAATCCTAATAACTCATTGTTCTTTTTTCTCGCACTATTCTGAAAAGCAAATTATTGTAATCAACTCCAACAAATATCTGCAAATTTTATGGATACCATTATAAGAAAACTTTAGTGATATTATTGAACTACTGATAAGTAGAATAAATGTTTTTGACACTATTTTATTTCAGCTGCGTCAATAAAGAGTAATTGTAACAGAGTCTGACATCATTCGGTTTTTTTTCTGGTTATCGTTTCATTGCCTTGCGAGCTATTCATAAAATATTTGTGTGATGTAAAAGTGAAATTTATTCGCGTCAGTAGTCGATGATATCCGTGTAAGTTCATCAAAATCAGGAAGATTTTTCGAACTACGCCTGGTCTGAAAGAATGACTAGATAAACTACTACAAGGGAAAATAACATTTATAAAATTATATTTGTAAAATATCAGCGAAATTGAAATGAAAATAACATAAATTGAAAGCATAGAATAACCAACTACTGTCAAAATCAACAAATATGAACTTGTATAACTAATGGATTAAATTTATTAAAAGCTTGATAAACTACTGAGACTAATTTCAAGTAGGCAAACTAGATTAACAAAAAATGTTTTGACAATCACAGAAAGCAGCAAATGTTAATGCAGGAGGATTTAATGGATTCATCGAATTTCGGCAGATCTTGTCACCACATACACACATATTTTGGACTACAATCTATTAACAATCTAATTGCAGATAACTTTTGAAATTCTGATCTTAATGATTCGATGTTACTCTTTTTAAAATCCACTAATGTTGTCAATAACAGTCTTTCATTATTACGGATATATAACTATAGAACCTGATGATGAAGCTATCGAAAAGAATTTTCTTTGTTCAGTAATCAGTCTTTTGAAATTTCGAATGAACATCTTTAATCTAAATCAAGAATTGCAAACTGGACAGTAATAATAATAATAATAATAATAATAATAATAATAATAATGGAACGAGTTTGGAATATTGTGCCTATAAAAGCCTCCACAAATGCAACAGTCTTTCTGTTTGTTTGCCCATTGACAAAAGTGAATAACTCGACAACGTGATTTTCATGTCCCAAGTCTATATGATGTTTCGTTATCGAAATTTTTGTTACTGACTTCAGTTTTGTTAAACCGCTTGGGCAAATACTCCACTACACACGCGTAGATATTATCGCATTTCCGTACGACCAAGGCTGAAGTCCTGTGTAGTTAGAGTCTAATCTCTGCAAAAGCAAAATGAGCAACTAAGAAGCATCAATAGCAAGAAGATGAACAAGATTTCAAGTACACAGGCAGCGAGTAAACCTCCTTGATATCATGATAATCATTAGTGAAATGTACTAGTTCACGATTCTATTTTTCATACCTGTGTGATTGCTTCAACTTTAGACAGCCCTTAAAAGTGCATTACTCCTAATTATTCACATGATAGTCGGATGATTTATTTGTATAGACACTATCAAAATGATAGGAGTTACATCGAAGGTTGACTGTCTGCTGTATTAATGCATATCGCCCACATGCATAAAGGCAGCTTTTCAAAATCAATTCGAAATACGCCTGCTGCTGAAGTAAGAATGTGTGTCAACAAGTCAAAGAAATAACAGGATTTTGTCCATCGCGTGACTAATCTTTGTTTAGATAAAAGGGTTGCACTCCCGCGCGTTAATTCAACTCCTTCGTTATCCTTCTTTCAGAATTGTTTGCATATTCTGACTGATTTATTTGTTATTCAGCCAATATGAATGCATAATTTATGTTTATTCACTTCGATTTTGTACAACCCTTTCTAATTTTCAAGGTCGTGGTGATGTATTCGGTGAACCCTTCTGGAAAGATCCCAACAGTATGAGTCATTCAGCGGCTACCGTCCGTGCACTCACCTACTGTGATTTACATTGTATTAAAAAAGATTGTTTATTGCAAGTATTGAAGTTCTACTCGGCATTTGCAAACAGTTTTGCGCGTAATTTAGTGCTCACATATGATTTAAAAACACGGGTAAGTAAAAACCAAGATTATTATTATCGTAATTTTTTTCCTTCACGGTCCCCAATGGAACATAGGGCTTCAAGCTAGTGGCTTGAAGTTTCTGTAACAGTGGTGATTATTTTGACAGGATGGGGTTGCTAGCCTCATGCCCAACCTTTCCTCTTCACCAGAATTATTTCTGGCTTAGCGAGGTAAAGGAGTGCGTTGGTGGCCGGGGATCGAACCTCTGACCACGTTCATGGTTGGCGAGCGTCCTAACCGCTATGCCACCGACGCGCTTAGAATAATCGTTATTATTATGATTGTTCCCTTGATTTCCCAGTGGAACACAGGGCTTCGACATCACGCCTCCACCTTGTCCTTTACTGTTTGATCCTACTCAGTCGGCTCCCTGATTTCTCATAAGCTGTCATCTCCTCACACGATCTCCTCCATACCAGTCTGGGATACTCTTCCATCTCGTCGTTTCCCACACGAGTGATGGCCTGGCACGTGATACCTATCATCCAATATTGTCAGCGTGTGTTCCGTCAATCTCCATTTTCTTCTTAGTATTTGTTGAGTAATAGATTATCGCTTGTTGGTTCATTCGCAGTTTCTTGTTGATAATTCTTTCTAACTGGTCATCTGACATTCAATATGGAACTAATGAAGACAGCTGTTGATCAAAAACCTGCACTGGCGTTTTACAAACGCTTTAGTTAATGCACTTGACAAGTTTCTAACCCACATTGAAGCAGTGGTTGACTTGATTTCAGTGTTGGAAATCTGAATTTAATTTTTTATGCTGAGGCAGAGTGCTGAATATTTCAAAACTGATTTCTAAACAAAAATTAACACTGACAGAACTCTCTTCTCCCACCAACTTCCTTTTTTTAAATTGACGCTTTTTCCTTCTAAAGGCTACAGTACAGTCATGAAGTTAGGTAACTTTGAGCCGGAGTTTCATTAGTTTAAATCCGCTGCCTTCAGTACTGTCTCATTTCATAAGACTTGATTGTTCATTAATCATTATACGGGATGGATGTGTGGGAAAAAAGCTGTCTTCATGCAACTATCTCTGGGACCACCTTGGAAAATACCGACTTCATTTTCAATTTGACAACATTATTTTATTTAAGTTGACGTTTTTTTCCTTTTTCCCATTGACTGACTGAACCAAAATGTCTGGATTCTGTTGACATGTCAGCCGGCCCGAGTACATTGATGGGTAGAAAGTGACTTGCAATGGAATCCAGGATACGCATTTCGTTTGATTTGGTGTACCTGCAATCTCCAGTGACTGATGGTAATCTCAATGAAACTCGATAGGCAAAAATATCAGTTCATTCTGTCAGCAGTAAAAATAACCAAAACAGATCGACTTAAAAAAGTGGTGACTTGTGGCTGTTGGACAAGAGGTGCCTGTGGTGGCCTAATAGGTCTAGAGGATAACACTGTGGAGTTTGAAAAGAAGGGATCTAATGGTTACAGGTACACCCAGATGAAGAGTTCCAGATGAGACGAAATTCTAGTCTTGGATTCCACTGCTAGCCACCATCCACAAAATAATATTCGTCACATAACACCGAATTAATATCATCTCTATTTACAAATCATTTTCTTATGGATTCTAATTATGCATTCACCAACCGCATTTAATGCCTGTGGTTCTATATATAGAATGAAATGACACAATTCATAATGCATGCATTTCACTTTATCAATAGACAGTTAGGGGTGTATGTTTTTCCTAATAATGAAGACTAAGCTGTAGTAACCAAAACTGACTCGTTTCGATTGCAACTCAGGGAACCGATCTTTACATTCTACTGTACAGAGCTGTCCAAAAGGTCTGCGAGAGATGTACACTCACAAAGTGCTTCAAAGACAGCAAAAGGAATCTGGAATCTGTGGGTCTATTCAACAATATTAATATCAGAAATTCAAAATTACCTCAATAGTGTCGTTAAACAGCTATACAGTCAAGGTTATTTTCTAAGTACGAAAACGAGTATTTAGAATCGAACAGAATAGTCCTAACAAGGTGGGATTATAAACTCTGTTCACAATAATCAAACACCAATACTTCTCTCACACCGTCCAAGGTCAAAATGGCCTTGACTCATTCAAACAAACTAGCAACGTAAAGCAACACATTACAAAAAAGGGTTTTCAGGTGCAGGATCTTGACGTCTTTAACACACATATATAACATATAATTTCAAAAAACTGAATTCCTCTGCAATCGTAGAAGTTCTCAGGGGAAATGTAACTTGAAACCGAGTGTTTCTCAAAAGAAAGGTCACTAATCCCTGAATTTTAGCGACACCTATTGCGAAGACGCTTAACGTCAATGACTAATCACACGAACTATGGAATTTCCCAAGCTTTTAAAAATACTAACCGAAAAGGAAGCTACTCAAGTCAATGGATTGTGAATTGCGAAATACACCTTCAAAAGGCATGTTACTAGACATCTAAATTGAATAAAAATCTCGAAAAGACAGCTTCTGTACCAAAGAAAGCTATCTTTATTAATCTACCATTCAAGGGTAACCAGATTATACAGTTGACAGCTCAAAGACTTCGGTCAGCCATCAAACGCACATTCTACGCCGCATCTCTTTTTCTCACATGCCGAAAATTTTCGATCCCTGTACCTACGATTAAAGGACGAAATTCTGTGGACTCTACTTCAAACTGTATCTACAAGTTCATCTGCAGCTGCGGTGACACCTATATAGGTAGAACCAACAGAATGTTCCATTGTCGTTGAAAAGAACATGTTCCAAAATGGTTACTAAATCATATAGAAAATCCCAATGCGAGTAATCTGAATAGAAATCCAGCATCACCCATTGCAAAACACTTATTAATTAACGTCAGGCCACAAAATCAATATTAATGACTGTTACACAATTATTTCACATAACTCTAATTCAAGGTTGGTGATTGAAGGTGATGGAAGCACTTTGGGCTAATCACATACAGCCTAAACTGTGTGTACAAAAAACAATTGACTTCAACCTTCGCCAACCATGTACTGACTACTTGACCTATTTAAATATGATTGGTCATTAGTATGTACTTTTGTTGTTTTATATAACTGAGTAATTGTCATGAACTTTATTTTATTATTGTTAACCATGCTAGTTGTAAAGCAGTTGTAAAGCAACTACGAAATGACGATATCATCTCGCGAAATTTGTCTTCTAAATGCCTTATTCAAATTTATCAAAGGGACTAATTGTTTTAATTAAAATAAGACAGAATATTCCATGCTATCAAATAAGCTTGTTGTAAAGGTTCTTCTTCATTTAACCTTTTTTTTGTTGTGTTCTTTTCTATTTCAGCTTATTTTTCGTAAACTTGCTGATGTCAGACGGGAATATGAACTGGCTGAACATCGTAAAGCAGACAACGCTCTGTCTAGTCTGCGTGCAGACCATCCCGTCAGACGTATGATTCACAAATTCCGTCGGATAGGCACGCATAATCAGTCGACAAATGATTCTCCAGTCGGTAGTGGCGGTGGCGGTGGCGGTGGAGGCGGGGGTGGAAGTGGTATCGGTGGCCTAACTGACAGTGAAATTATGCGTATAAGTCGTAAATCAATAACACTAGGCGATTATGATGATTTCGGTAAAGAATTTGATTACACTGTGAAAAGTGAAGATAAACAAAGAAGTCAAAGTAAAGGGGAAAGTCCTAGTTCGTCAACTGTCAACAGTAATAACAATAATACAACAACAACTACTCATAATAATAATAGTAACAATAATAATAATAACGGCAATAGTAATGCGGTAAGTGCATTGGATGAAATCGCCTCTAGATGGGGTAAACGTATGGAGTTGAAAGGCAATAAGACCAATAATAATTCCACTGCAATTCAACAATCTCATCCAACTAATAATAAGGATTCAGCAAGTAACGAGAATAATAATAGTTATACGCCTGCAACCAGTAGTAGCAGTAACAGTAATACAAACACATCCAAGTCACTGTTACAATCCAAATGGGGCAGTCTAATGAAATCATCAACAATCCAAGAAGAACAGGATCAACAGCATCAAAGTAAACCGAAACGTGTATCCAATACCACTACTACTACTACTACAGCAGCGGTGAAAAAACGAAGTATTCAAGTGGGAGAAGTAGACGTGGAGAAAGAGGAGGACAGCTTAGGAATAAGAAAGTCACTCTTGGATAATCAGTCGAAAATGATAGAAGAACGCTTCAGAAAACTGGAATTATCCAATGATACAATATTAGAGTGTTTAATAAAAATGCAAGATGAATTAAAATCAGAATTGGGCAATTTAATGAATCGTATGAACAGTATTGATGATAGAGTAGCTCAACTGGTTTCAACTATTGAAAGTAGGACTGCACAAGATGATGAAATTCGTCAAGAATTGAAGCATTCTCAGCAGAAACAGCAGCAGCAACAACAACAAGATAAGTTACAGAATCAAAAAAGTCAAAGTACAAAATTTCTTAAAACGATATTCACACCACCATCATTATCATCTACTGCTGCTGCTGCTGCTGAGTCACCTACCTCTTTAAAATCCCGCCGTACTTCCAATCTAACGAGTTCTAACAAAATTCACCCATTAGAATATTCGATCGATTCAAAATTCAGTCACCAGCACCATCACCATCAACAGCAGCAGCAACAACAACTGGATAGGCGATTAAAACAAGGATCCTACCAACAAAGTAAAGTTGAACGAGATCTGTTTAATTTGAATAAAATCGATGCGTATGGTACACAGTCAAGGCGTAGTCCACCAAGACAACGTATATCACAATTCTATAAACAGTATTCAGGTGAAACAGACAGTCAGTTAGAGCCTTTATCCACTGAAAGTGAATCATCACTTCAGTCAAATGAACAAATCAGTATGCATAATCTTCCTTCACAGATTATCTCCCCTAGATATAAACACACACCTCATTATCAAGTACATCCATCTATACCATTAACTAATTTCTGTTCTGTTTCCCTGCCAACATCAATTACTGAAATGAAGAGTGCGCGATCCTCTGTGCCCACAGAATACAGATTATCTCTGCCATCAGGAGATGCTGAGAATTTTTTATTTCAAACACTTCATTCACCACATGTTGATTTCAGTGTTGAAATGCATTCGTGTCGAAATCCTTTCATTTCAAATGTTAGCGTATCTGCTGAAAATGTTTCTACACATGTTACATGTCACAGTGTAACAACAAGTTCACAAGCACTAAAATTACCACGCTTAGTTGTATCAGAAAGTCTGTTACACCAACCATCGAGTAATTTGTTGGTTACTCCGTCTGGAAGGACAACACTCTTCTCAGATACAAATCTATTCTCACCTACTACTACCACTGTGCCTAATTCGTATATTACTCCTACTACGACTACTACAGATAACTATCAGACGTTTGTAAATCCATGGAATCTTCTTGGCAGTGTATCACTGTCAGATACAATGTCCACTGAGCAAACAAAATTATTTGTACCAGACACTTCAATAATGACAACAACAACATCAACAATAACGCCAATAGCATCAATATCATCTAGCCAACAACACAGCATTTCACAGCACACACCATCTTCATTCACCCACAGAACTGCAACAACGCCTACTAGTAGTAATAATAGCAGTAATAATAACAATAACAACAGTGCTAAACAGCGCACTTCTAGGGATTTCACTCTGACTAAACAATAAATATATTTTTGTGTTTTTTTTATTACCCACTGCCCAGTCCTCCCCCCCCCAACCAACTATTCAAAAATTCCATGTAATAATGAAGCGTCAAATTAGTCACAGAACAGAAGTGCATAAATACATATATTATCATTTGTTCAACATTCAACGCACATACACACACACACACACATACAAACATATACTCACATAAACATCCAATCATCCCTATATGACGATAATAATAAAAATATCTTTCAAAATACAATGTGAATGAATTTCAATGAATAGGTGTACAAACCGTCATGCAAACCAGACAAAAAGATTAATATAGAGCAGATTTTTTGAACGGAGGACCACCGACAATTTTACTAGGATTTTGTGTTTCACACAAGCTAGAGAGACAGAGAAATAACAACAGCAACTACAACAACAACAAAAGAGTACAGATAAAATAAAATATCGAAATTGTACATATTATCTAGTGAAATTTTATTTTAAATCTTTAAAAAAAATATTTGAAATCTTATTGATGACTTTTGTTAAGCTATACTACTACTACTACTACCACTACTACTACTACAACTAAAGGTGGGAAGCTACAGGCTTGGAGTTTCTGTAGAAGTGGTGATTACTTTTACAGGATGGGGTTGCTAGCCTCATGCTCAACCTTCTCTCTTTACCAGTCGTATTAGTGGCTTAACGAGGTAAAGGAGTGCGTTGGTTGCTGGGGATCGAACCCCGGACCATGTGCATGGTCAGCGAGCGTCCTAACCACTGTGCCACCGACGTACTATTTAGGTTGTAATACATTATAATAATTAAGTCGTGTACAACTGTACTGAGCACTCTTGATTCCCGTAAGCACTTGGAAATCGCTTATGTCAATCATAGGAATGTTTGCTAGTCAAATGGAGAAGACTGTAACACAAGGGGTCTTTTAAGGTCTGAGCCCATTAGTGCTCTTAATTGAGCTAACGAATGTCAACCAGGTTTCTTTTAAGAACACGATATTCAGCGTAGCGTAGAGACTCATTTCAACGAGCTGTACAGTCGTATAAACACATACATGTATGTGGTTTTTAGGAAACTATATATCCTGCGGTAATAATGTTAAATGCGTTAAGAATGTTTGCAATTATAATCATAGTTCATTGTCAAGTAATACAGTAAATAATGTCATGTATAGAGTTGTTCGAATAAATATATGGATGTTGGAAAGCCATGTAATATTATAGGATTAGTGAACGATCACAACACTAAGTAACATGATACGAAATTTGCTAAGATATAATTTAATATTGCGAAGCAACTTGCCATTTAAAATAATAAATGCGACAAAGAGGAAGTTGAAGGTGAGAAGAGGAAGAAGACGAGTCGTAGTAATGAGGAAAAGGTGCATAGATCAAATCAACAAAATGGAAAATAAATAAACAAACAAACAAGTGAAAGAGCGTTCAGTGAAGAGTTACTCTTTTCAGCAATATCATTCTCTAGCTATACAATCGCATATATACATTTAGTAAGCTGTTCTAGCGACAAAAGAGGTGTTATTACAAGCGTAAATTTTAGATAACAAAAGACGCGTAAATGAGGTAGACATTGAAATAAAATTAGGCAAATGAAGTGACGTAATTTAACCGACGGAAATGAGTACAATTCAACTAAAATTTGAACGAGAGTCAAGTTAACAACAGTGGTATTAACGGGGCAAAAGTTTAATAGGGGTTGGGGGAGAAAATAATGCAATGAGGAAGGAAAAACAAAAGCTACGTATTCGGTGTTAAGATAGATCGGGCTCAAATTCTTTTGAATGTGAAGTTCAGAATTTAACATGTGAATTGCCATTCCTTCCGCGGCTTTAAGGAGTTTGATTCCTACTGTTTTAGCAAGATTCTCATGTGTTCTGTAGATAACTCTGAAGTTTCTTTGTGGGTAGGTTAGTCTGGTATTCAGATTCGATCAGGTGTTCTAGGATAGAGCTGTAGGGAGACCTTTTCTCTTCTTTATAAAACCATGATGGTGAGTGTTGGATGGTACGTTCGGATAGCAAACGCTGGGTGCTGCCGACCGACCTAGCGTCACACAAGGAGGTGGATTCGTAGATGCACATGGATGAGGCCAACAGTGGTAGCTTATCCCTCACGTTCATGTGAATCACTAGTTTTGCGGAGAAAGTTAGTCGTAGTTCAGCTGTGAAGTTTTTCTTCAGTGTGAGGCACTGGCTGTTCCTCAGTATTTCTGCCGGTGTCTCCATTGGGTTGTAGATTCAAGTAGGGACGGTTTTGGGGAGCAGAATGTGTGGGGGGTTTCAGTGGCTTAGGCTTCACTGATTTTCTGAAGGAGCGTTCTGGGTAGATATTTTCAAGGTGGATAGTTTTCAGTGTGTTCAGCTGCTCTTGCACAGTGTAGGGCAAAAAATGCTGCGAATTTTGTCTCTCAGTGGATGGATGGGGTTTCGTTTTGTATATTTATTATTATTTCCTCTAATTCCTAGAGGAACATACGGCTTCAGCCGCATGTCTCTATCGCGTTCGGTTCTCTGTCAACGTTTTCACCTGGCTTGACGTCTGCCCACATGCTTTTATCTCCTATTCATATGACCTCTTCCATGTCACTCATGGCTTCCCATTTGGGTTCCACTCGAGCGATGGCCTGAAGTGTGATGTAACTTGATGGTTTTCTCAGAGTATGGCCAATCCACCTCCATTTCTTCCTGCATATTTGTTTCATAGTCGGTTCCTGGTTGGTTTCATTGTGTATATAAAGGCACCCAACTATGAAAGTTCGTGATTTGTCCGTTCCCTGTCGGCTTTCTGTAGATGTGTCTTTCCAGTGTTCCATCTTGTTCATTTCTCAATAACTGGACGTCCAGAAAAGATATTTTTGTGATGGACTCCTTCTCTAATCTGAGGTGGATGGCGGCTGTTGAAAATGTCCACGGTATCCTCTGAATTCTTCTCATTACCGGAGATAAACAAAGTATCGTACATGAATATCTTATCAGTCATTTCCCTTAGGTGTGTGTTTTCTAGTTTTGACATGAAAAAATCTGCAAGCAATGGGCCCAATGGTGCTATAGTTATTATTACTATTAGTAGTATTGTTAGGAGTTCTTGTAGTTCTGTGGGTGAATCAAGGTGGTGTGTGCTGTTGAATGCTCGGTTGTTGACTAGATGAGACTGTAGAGTAAAGGGAAACGAGATGGTGGGTTAGATACTAGCATATATAGGACACCGACATATTCTAACAAATATTCAAACTTTAGTTCATCCCCACTTAGGTTTAATAAGGCTTTTATATGATCGAGTCAGGAGCCCAACAAGTAAGTCTGAAGTATGTATGTGGAGGATTTCGGTGATCATTTTATTTTATGTCAAATTAATAAAGTAAAGTATCAGCAGACAAATATCTGCTTCACTCTGGCAGTATGCGCACTATGTAACTACAAACGCGAAATGTGGGACTTCGGTTGAACGGGGAGCAGAATTTAATATTTCGCAGTCGTCATCGTAACTACCAACTTGTGGATGACATATCCAGGCGCTTGCAGGACGAGAAGAGAGTTTCTTCAGGGTTCTGGAAAGCCTCACCTTCACCAGCGCCTCAGAGATGTATGCAAAAAGATTGCAGGAAAAAGCTCAGAAGTGAACCAGGAGATTAAAAATAATTCAGCAAATATTAGGTAAAATTGAAAGCTTGATAGATGGAAAAGAAAGCAAAAGAATATTTAGGAATTCAGAGATGGGAAAAGAAATAAAAAAGATTAAATAGAAGATATCCTACAAAAGATTTGAAGAAGTCTATATATAATTATATAAATAACAAGAAGCAGAAATTCTCCAATTGTCGAAATGATTGGAAAGACTTCATTATCGGTGGTGAAGAAAGCCATGAACTGCACACAGGATCTGTGGAGGTTGCAAGAGAATGCCAAGATAACCCGAGTAGTGTGGCTAAATCACACTGAATGCTACATTAGTAGTTAAAGTGGAGAAATACATTTGTCAGGTGATCAGCAGATTCCCGAAATGACAGGCTAGTGGGGCAGTCAGTGCTGAACTAACCAGCCTTGTTCTGATGAGAGTCAGTGGATGCTGGAGTATTGCTAGAAGATATTTTTCCTCTTGGACTTTCTCGGGGTCTCTGGTTGGCTTGCTACGCTAATTGTCAGTTTCAACGTGTATAACTGCGAATTATTGATTAAAATTACGGTGGTGAGCCCTAGTTTTCCACGTTTGTGGTGTAAAATTATCAGTCAGGTCAGAATTACTTCCCACTTTTCGTTAATGAATGAAGAAGTTTGGCAGTCAGCGCTGATCTTAGGCTACAAATTCTGGTATAATTGTTGCCAGTGCTCTACTGCCATCTGAATAGGAGAATCGATGCTTAAAATTTGTCACCCATAGCTGCGCTACGTTTGGAATTTACACTATATTTTCACTCAGAATGGATCTCCTGCAACTCTGTTCAGATAATCATTTGTCCCTAGTCAACACTAACTTTAGTCACAAAGACAGATATTGCGTAACCTGGCAACCTCAGTCACCACATCAACGCTGGACTCAAATAAACCCCGTAGCGATAGGATATCTTTGGTGAGGGTCAGTTGAAGACTGCCGCTCCTTCTAAAAAAATAGTGCGCCCTGGTTCGCGCACGTTCATGCCTACGTCTAAACGGACATAAGAAATTGTTGGCAGCGAAGCAGTTACATCCCCAAACAGATCGAAACTCTGAGTCTCTGTTTAAGGAAGAAATAGGGAAACGAGTATCTGACGTCGTCAGCAGGACTCCTCCTGAGGAAGCCTGGTACAACATACAGTTATCTGTAGACACAGGTGTAAAAGCTCTTAATAACCTGAAACGGAGAGTTAGCAAGAGCCATTGGACTTCTACCACCTCATCTGAACTGATTCAGACAAGAAGACTGACTCCGGTGAATTCCGAATATGATGAGGAGCGAAAGGTGCTCAAACGCAAACTAGCAAGAAGCCTTTGTGACGACCGTGAACAGTGGTGGGCGACAAAAGCGAAAGAGATGGAGAAGGCATCAGTGATAGGTAAAACCAGACAACAATTCAGACTTAAAGAGGAAACAGATGGCAAAAGGCAAATGACAAGTGAAATAATCTCTGAGAAAAGTGGTGCTATGACTAGCTCTGAGGATGGACAAACGTTGGGAAGAACACTTTGAGGAGCAGTTTAATTAGTCTACAACCAGGCTCAACTTGGGAAGCATCAAATACCTCCCTGAATGGGATGTAGACACAGGTCCTCCGTCCCTAGATGAGGTTACAAGAGCTGTCACAGTCTGAAACGAGGAGAAGCTGCGGGACCCATTGGAATGACTCCAGAGGTATTTAAGGACGGTGGAGACAGTATACTGCCCTCGTTAACTAAGGCACTGTGCAGCGTCTGGGGAATCAGAGGAAGTCCCATC